AGATGTCGGGGATGTCGAGGCGGAGCGGCAAATAAAACAGATGGCTTTTCCTAAAATCCACCACCAAAATCTCAACCCATAATCTTAATCATGTTTCAAATCCTCAACCAAGCCTCCAAGCCGGAAAGAGGGATAAATGGAAACAAATATCCAAAAGCCAAGGGGACTACTTTAATTCAGCCAGGATTAGGGTTTCTGACTTGTCAACTGCGGCAATGAATCATGATACCAAGCGCTGAATGTGTACTCCAAAAATCAAATACCAAACCTCCTACAGTTCATCAACGGCGCTGGAACTACGGCAGGACGGACTGAGAATAAGAGACATCATGGTGTAATGCTCCGAACCTGTAGGTCTGACCACAGGTGTGTTTCTCTTTAATAAAGAGCGGTTCATGTCCTGCAGCTTTGTTTTGGGTTTTTTTAAATCGTTGCATGTGACTGAATATCTCAGAATAACTGCAGCATTTAATCCTTGAGCTCATAATCTGGGAGACAGGTTCAACAATAACACACACACACACACAGTCTCAACACGCCACACACTGACACCTTCCTTACACTACTGTATTTCTCCTCACACGTTTTGTTTTGCTGGCTCCTTTACGCAAACCACCTGCGACGAAAGAGGGCAAACTACTGTGACAGGTCCAGCTACTGTCAGTAGCCAGTGTTCAGAGTGGTGCACACGTACGTAGTTTAATAATAACTGCAGATAGTGTCCGGCCAGATGACATATAAGCCCAGTTATTCTCACATTGCCCAGGGCTAAATTTAGACGCCATGTATTTAGACAACGCCGTCACTCACGATAGCGCTGACTTACAGGCTTGTGCAACGACGCACTATCCCCATTTCTTATCACATACGTCCATTTACTGTGTGTCTGTCAATACACGCACCCAGCACCCAGCCTTACTGCCGGATAACACATTTTAACTGGAAGAATGTCGCAGATGTGTACGAATCACCCTAGAAAATAAGGCCTGGGATTGCGTTAGTTGTGGGTAAAAGAGCTCAGCAAGGACAAAATAAAAGCAGGATAAAACCAAATGACACATTCACAACATTCAACTGTGAGCTACATTAACGTATTGAGACGTTATTTATGGTAGCATGTCAACTTGCCCGCGTGGTTCGAGTCCATGTATGTTATTATTCTTTAAGAGCGTAATCCAAAAGGAAACAGATCCTCACATTACTGTCACCGAAGATGCGCAAACTTCTGCCAGCATCTCGACGCAACGGGAACTCAAAGGTTAATTATTACCGCGCACCCACAGGTCCTTCGCGTTGTTTTTCTGGGCAAAAAAAAACACTAAAGTTTGCAAGTAGCTGGAGAGTGTTATGCTAGTGCACAACAAGCAGATTTCCAAAATGGCTTCCCGGTCGTAACAAAGCCAGAAGGATTGCTGCCGAGCTGATCCTCCCACTCCCAGGCCCTCTATTGTCGGCCGGGGCGCACACTTTAAATCTATTGGAGGACAGCAGCACTGGTGCAACGGGCACTGCAAGGGAGCACACTGCTGTTTGGGTTAAAGTTGACATTGAACCCCCCTGGAGGAGATCTCATCGGAAACTGAAGGTCCTCGTATCACATCTGCCGCCTGAACGACCTTAAACACATCTGATAGCATGAATGATGGAGGATACAGGCCAACAACAACGATATGAATACTAATGATTTCATATTATGATGATAACATCATTTATTAAATACATTTCTAGCAACCAAAGTTTTTGTAAATAAGTGCAAATGATATTTAATGCCATACTTACTGTAACTGCAGACCCAAATCACCCCCAAAGCAGTCCTACCCCTGCATTAGTTTCTGTCCAGTCCCAATAAGTAAAGTCTATAAAAGGTTCTAGCCATTTAACATATTTTGCACCAAACATGTTATTAATGTTTTTTAAAAAGACCCACATTAAAAAGAATTAAATGCTGTCCAAAAACCTGTAATACACCCCATGTATAAGTTTGAATTGAATAATATAAACGTCCCTCCTACCTCCTGAATATGCTCTATATTCTGGCCCCAGTGTTAGCTGAGCTCAGATGTCCCATAATAAAACAAACTACAACTAATCAGTGGAGTGCAGTCGGAGGAAAAGTTGGCATCGGCACTGTTGCGACGCTGTTGCAGTATTGTTACTACAAACATGTCGAAGTGGGATTTGACCAATGAACCATTGCACAAATGCAACAGAAACAAAGTGATTCCAGCGTCCACTCCATTCGTTCAGTCAACAACACAAGTATGTATCAACACTGCTCACAGACAGGATCTTCTTACTGAATAGGATGCGTTGCTATAAATGAGTGGTCCCATATAACCACACCTGTGTTCAGCTGTGTCTGATTAGTATTTTTAAACTGTGCTATTGCTACTCTTACTATATATAAATATAAACACAGAGATGTCACTGTCTGCCATAAACAACAACAAAATGCAAGCCAATAGGTCCTATCAGCAGTACTGCTCTGCAACTGACTTACAGCTCAGAGGAAGCAGGAAATCTTCCACACACATAATTATATTATATATTATTGATACCCAAATCTGTATCCTAATGAGAGCATTTAAGGTCTTGGGTGAGGCGCCACCTGCTGGACAGCAGCCCCCAACTAGACACTGAGTTACAGGACCTCTGAGTATAATGCATTAAAATTCAACACCACCACAAACTAACGTTATATTGTGCAGAAAGTTACATTTAGACCATTATAACCTCACTGATGGTAATCCCACTGTGACCTTTAGACATGAAAGAACAGGATGGTACACGCCCTGGCTCAACCTTGATAAGACCTCGATTTAAAACTTTCTTATCCAGGTGTGTTTCAGATGAGCGGTACACACTGGTAGAAAAAGTACTTGACTTAAATAAAAGAACAAAAGTGGCCCTTTACTGGCATATCATTATAAAGTCTGTTAGTATGGATTCTTAATGAGTAAGCAGAATTTGACTGCTGTAGCAGGTCAAACAACATAGTTAATAGGTCACTTAGGTAGTGGGGAGGAGTCAGTCCCCTCTGAATTTGATGTATTTTAAAGCCTATTGTGTGTTTTAAGTAACATATGAATCTAAAGAAGTGACTGGTAGTAAAGATGAATGCAGTGAGGTACCATATTACTCTATTTGTAGTAAAGTAGAGGTGTAAAGTAGCAGATGGTGGTAAATATAGTAGTGGTAGTTTCCACCTGTGGTAATACCCCCCACCCTCTTCTTCAAACCATGACTCCAGCCCTGTGTCTGGAGCAGCCTTGGCCCAGCAAAAACTAAATGTTTGTCACTGAAAATATGTTGTAGTTGAATAAAAACAGGTGGTTACTGGTGCAAATCAAAACATATAGATTGTGTCACAGACTTAAACGAATACGGAAGTCTTAGCATACCCCCCTGCTACTGCACTGGTCAGGGAAACCTTAAGTCAGTTTCTGGGCTTTCTTATGGGCTTCTTCTTTAAGTTCATATGCTATTTTTTTTTTTTTTTATCAGTAAAACCTCAAATAAGACTGAGGCACACAACACGTGTACCCCAAAAAAACACCGCACCACGGAGCAAAACGTTACAGCTAAGTTAGCTAACTATCTGCAAACGTTTAACGTGAAGTTGAAGCCTCTCGTGACAGCTCAGGATAGCGCGTGTGGAATTAATTCACATAATTATCAACACACAAAGTGAAGTGTTACTCACACGTTGACTGCGGAGTATTGAGGGTAAACGCCGGTGACTGTCTGATTGGTTTATCCTGTTGTAGTTTGTTTCATGTAGTTCGTTGACGCGTCACGAGCCGTTGGAACGTTAGGACCTTGCTCTAACGTTCGCCTTTCCCGCACACTCTCACATTTTCCGTTGCTACGCCAAAGCGTCACAGGCGTCAATCCATAATTGGTAAAAATGACCATATATGGGAGCTGTCAAAAAAAACTAACAAACGCCTTGTTTGAAACGGGCTGCTCTTATAGGCTTTAAAACAGCACCGCTTAGTGGTCGTTGACGAGAACAACAACTAACAGTGAATTAATAATAAAAAAAAAACTGCTTCTACTAATAATTAATTATTTAAAAAAGAAGAAGAAACGAAACTGATATCCTGGCTATCCCTTTAGGTTAATATAATAGCTAAGAATATCTCACTGCTGGAAAAAGGTTACTCCAAAAATAGTCTACACACATTTTCCAGTAATTCATTGCAACAAATTATTTTGACAGTACTCTCTGCTGAGACCTTCATCCA